AAAATTTAAAAATTTTCAATGCAAGTCCATGACATATTTTTCCTAAATGGTCTATTAGATGCTTGCATGTATTATTAATATTAGTGCATGATATATTCATTTTTTGTTTTGTAGTAGAATTTTCACATATTTTATGTAATTTTTTCTTACATTTTTCATGAGTGGATATTCCTTCGCCAAAAGCCTTAATTAAATTATTAAGTTCGTTAGTTTGAGTTGAAGTATTATTACACTTTTTCTCAACTTCAGCACATATGTTGTTTAAAGATCCGGGACAACTGCTTTTAAGCAATTTACAGTGATATTTGAAACTAGCACAACGACTATAACTGATATGAGTTATATGGTTATTGGAAACTTCATAATGTGATAGATAGCGTGAGAGCTGTGTACAATATGCTGAAACACGCTTGAGTATGTGATTGCATGTTTTTATTTTATCACGACAGACTGTATGTGAATATGAACTATTTTGTCTACAATGTTCAGCAAGATGCTTGAGACAAGAAGATTCATTGTATAAATCTGAGCCTTTTTTAAGTATATTTACTCCTAATAGTATTGCTTCATCTATATTTTTACATGCAGTATTAAGTTCTCCGCATAACTTTTTAGTAGATTGAAAATAAAACTCCAATTTATGACATTCTTTTTTATACTTTTTACACTTGTCATAGTCAGGATCCATGAGAGTATCTTTTAAGTTTTTTTCTAAATCTTTGGAGTTACTGTTAACAAAAGTTGTTAAATTTTTACATGCTTCTTTTGGGTGCAGACAACTATATAGTATATAGTAACTATGATACATAAAATGCTTGCATTCTTGTATAAGAACTTTTTCGCAGTTTTTTTGATTGTTTGAAGATTCAGGATTATTTTCTAATGTTAATTTTCTATTCAACTTTTTCATTAGAGCCATATTAGCTGCTCTTTCTAAACCTGCTTGGTAACAAACGAGTCGTATATCTTTGCAAAGGTCATAACTCAGCCAATAAGTGATAGCTTTATGCATAAAATAACATACTAATAAATATTCTTTGCATTCTTCTTTTGAAAGAGGGCGATCTGGATACCACCAAAACCAGATACCTTGTTTAAGTTTGCTTTGAAGGGAGTAGCAATAGTTTCTGGTTCCAGCATACATATCATGACAAACGTTATAGAGGTTACGTGAATCCTTAGAAGTGCACATCTGTTTAATGGGTTCTAAATATTGTATCGATGAACATTTCTGATCAAATATTTTTTTACATTGCAGATATCCTGGATAATATTCTTGAACCAAATATTCTTGAACCAAAAAGTTAGCCACTTGCAATTCTGAATATTTCTCTAATCCAGTAACATGGATACCTAAATCATGCAATTTTTCATAGGTATGTTGAATATCGGTTTCATCTAGATCGGTAGATGGATTTTTAAAAAGATCAAAATTATGCTCTTTTGAATTATAGAAAAAGCCTTTTTCAGAACATTCTATTCGAAATGAACGACATAAACTGTGGAGATTTTGGCAATCTGGGATAACATAATAACATATTTTTAACCATTTTATACAATTTTCTTCCGTCATTATTTCTTGTTTTGATAAAAATTGAGTTCCAAAATGTTTACATTCTTCTTGAGAATATGAAATAAATTCATTGCAAACTTTGGTATAATCCATACACAAAGTAAGCAATTCAGGGCTTTGTTGACTAAGTAATTGGCATACATTTTTTAGTCTTCCTATGCAAGATCCTGAATCACCTGAAGTTCCTCTTAAAATATCATAGAGAAGTGTTCTTGCTACTTCCATACGGACTTTATTATAACAGCTCTCTTTAAGTTTTTTACACTTTTCGTTAAGATACTGCATACCATGGCGCTCGAAAAGAAAACATCTCATTTGTAATTTGTTACACTTATCATGTTCACTTATTTTTTCGTCCGAAAGTTCTTGAGCTGTTTTTTTTATCTTTGTCATTATTTCATTGTATGCATGATTACATATTGTTTTAGATGTACAAATTCCTTGAACTCTTTCATTCATATTCTTAATATTAGTACATATTTTAGTCATGTCATTTTGACAATAAGATAATCGACCTGGAGCTAACATAGCAGCAACATAATAATAATCATGTTTATAATTGTACCAGAGATTTTCAAGTTCTAGTTTTTGCAATTGATATGCTAAACGAAGATCATAAAGTGCACTCCTATGAGTAAGGGGAAATAATGAATCGTCTTCATTTAGTGGAGAATAATTAATAAGATCTGAAAGATTAAAGTTGGAATTAAGTTAAATAAATATTACCCAAAAAATCTTCGTTTTTTGAAAAAACTGTTTTTATATCAATTAAATTCAGAAGAATGTATGCTTTTACAAAAAGTGACATAAACAAAAAAGAAACAGAAGAAACTAATTTTGAATTATATTATTGATTTAGAAATGCGGATAAAAAGGGGCAATATTAAAAAGGGGATTCGTAGAAAGAAAATTAGTTAAAATATACAATAAACAAATAATGCTATTTTTATATATTATATATTCATTTGTTTTAATATTTTTTGAAATATTTATTTTTATGAATCTATTTTATGAATCTATTTTAAAATGCTAATTTTTAAGTTATTTAATTTAGAAGACTACTTGAAAATTAGTTAAAAATTTTAATAATACTTTTATTTTGTTTGAATAGCTTTTTGCATATTAAGAGTGTATTTGATCTTCCAAGGATCTTCAGGTACACGATAAGTCTATGTTAGTGAGATTTACAATAATATTTTTCTGAATTTGTAAATTTTTGATTATTTAACTATTAGATAGTCGTTAGATAATTATTAGATAATTATTAGATTTATATGTTTTTTCTTTTAAATTTTTGCATATTATTTGATCTTTTTGAATATATTTTTTTATTTAGATTTGTTGATTTTTCAGTTTTTTTATTACATAATAATCGCACTAATTTTTAGTTTCGATTTTTATTTTTCAAATATTTAAGATTACTAATAGTTCTATTTTTATTATTTAATTTGTTTTAAACATATAAATGAACATATAAAAAATGAACATTAACGACTTTAAAAATTTGCATTGACTTATTTATTTTAGTGATTAGTAATTTTTTATTTTAAATATCTTTGCTAAACGTTTTTTGAAAGTGAGTATAACTATAAATATTAATAAATGTATTTTAGTGCAGTTCTAGTTTGATATAAATATTGTCAACTATTTAATCTTTGTTTCAAGGATTTTGAAAATTTTTATGTTATCGAAGAATTAAGTTTATTTTAAAATTTACAAAATGTTTTTTATTATGTTAGATATTAAAAAATATAAGTGTTAACACTCTTAGAGATTAGATGGTTGAATTTTCTGCTATATATATTGAATAAGAATTGCAATTGTAATTAAAAATATTTTTATTTAACAATATTTCTTTAATAGTTTTTTTATAACATGGCATTTTGAAAATAAAGATTTTTTATTTATGTTACATGAATTCTAAATTAAGTTGATAAATTTTTAAATTAGTTTATTATAGCTTCTGAAATATTATTATAAATTATGAAATAGTGTATACAATATTAATTTGCATTTTGATATAAGTTTTAAGCATTTAAAATGTTATTGAAGGCAGAATATATTAAAAATATTTTTTTGAAAAAAAAAAAATAATACTTTTATCTTTGGAATAATTAAATTCAACTTATTCATTTGCATGACTTTGAGATATTTTTTTAAATATAAATTTTAAATATTTTTAATAAATAAAATTATTCTGTGATAATTTAGTTCAATTGATAATAAATAAATTTTTATATGATTTTCTATTAAAAAATATTTTTTCACAATCTTCGTTTAGAAAATTTAGTATTTTGACAATTTTTAGATTATTATGATATTTTGTTTCTGTAATGAAATTTTTATCTCATTTATTAAATAGAAAAATATATAGGAATTCTTATGAATATTTATTATATTTGGTATTATTTAAATTTTTTATACTTTTGATAATGGGAATTTATACTCGTAATTATTGAATGGTATTTTAATTTTATAAAGATGAATAATAATACGATAAGTTATTAAAACGAAGTAGATATTTTAGACATATAGCATTTAAAATAGTAGAATTTTTATACTTATTAGATTAAAATGAATAAGTGACTTGTATATAATGTTAGTTGTCTTCAAATAGATTATAGTATTTCTGTTTTGTTTATTGTTTCTAGTTTTAAAATTAATATATAAAAAACTTGTTTTTATGCAACTATATGTATATTTTATTATTTACTCATGCGTTTTTAATACTTTTACATTTTTCTTATGACTTACGCATTTTTTATATTATCATAAGTATTTATGTTGATTTATGCTAAATTGATATACCATAAGAACAGTATAGTATATATTATTAAAAAGTATGTATTATTTTTTTTATTTTTAGTCATTTCTATTTA